AGGGAGCCCGATGTGGGACTCGATCCAGGGACTCCAGGATCATGACCCGAGCCGAAGGCAGTCGCTTAACCAACTGAGCCACCCAGGCGCCCCGACTTTTTGGGTAATTTTAAGAGTTCTTCACTTCCGGAACTTCTCAAATGATCCTTCCTAGCTTATCTGCACTACTCTCCTTACCCAGAGGAAACCTTACTCTTCAATAGTTGCTATTTAAAGGAGAGATTTATATATTATCTAAGTATATTCACATAAACGTTAAGAATATGGTAATCTTGAAAAAAAAAACAAACCCATGTTTTCTGCTCATAAAACTAGTGCATATTCATGGTAGAAAGTTTAGGAAAAACTGAATGTCACAAATTAACCTGGAATTATCCATAACCCCACCAGTCAGAAGTAATTATTGTTAACATTTTAAGGGTCCAAGTTTGCATGATTTCATTAACATGATTGGAATTGTACCAACTATTACTTTCCTTTTAAACTGTCTTGATAAAATGCTTCAAAGAGGGTAGGCTGGTGCCATTTTTGTGAGGAGCACTAGAACCCATTGCATTGTGAGTGGCCAGAACCAGTCATCATTTGCTTGGCTGCACACATGGGGTCTGCCTGTTGGGTCCCATGTCATGTTCACCACACAAGCCCGTCCTTCATGGAACAGGTATTTGGAACCTCGGCCCAGAAGACGTGGCATTTGACCTGCATGGCTGCAAGCCTCTTGGGACTGGACTCCCAGTTCAATTTCTGGGCCTATCCTTTAGTTTCCTAACCAAGTTCCTACCTTGTACCCCTGTACCCCTGGGCCTCTGTCTCGTGTCCTTCCATCCAGGTGTTGGCCTTCTTATCTATCTGGCATGTGAATAACATAAACCTGGAACCCTGCCTTGGGCTGCCAGTCCTCCCAGCTGCCGAGACCTCATGTTTAGAGCTTCTTTTTTTTTTTTTTTAATTTGTGAGAGAGAGAATGAGAGACAGAGAGCATGAGAGGGGAAGGGTCAGAGGGAGAAGCAGACCCCCCGCTGAGCAGGGAGCCCGATGCGGGAC